TAAAATAATATTATTAGCCAATTTTATATACCGAACATTTATATTTGTATCGGTATACAAAGAGTAAATGTGCAATCTGAATTCACTCTATATCGAACAAAACCTGTCCAGCCAGCTTGTTTAGTTTAGAGAGAGTTGACTGTATATAGTTTTGATTTACATAGACCCCAGCATGTGTTACCATTATTAAAAGTGAATTATTTGAGCAAGGCGCATGCGCATTATTTTAAGGTTCAGAAAATTAACCTGTAATACGTATAATGATAATATTAGACTTATCATTACAATAACTGGACTACCCAAAATAAGAGTAACACAAAAATGTTTAACTGCGTTAAAAAAATTTATAATAAGTGGGCCTTTTTAAGCGAGTAAGACCTGGTATTGTTCTATAGTATACCCGTGATCAGGTTTTACTATAATGCTGTAATGAGGAATCTCATGGCCCTTTTTAATGTTGCTTATGGTATTTCTCATTACAAGTAAGACCTGATCACGAGCAACAATACATATAATATTAAAGTCTTACTATAATAAGAAGTACCTCAAACTACATAAGCAACATTAAAAAAAGACTACGTAGTACGTATTAGTAACTAAATGTAGTAATTACTACGTATAGTAGTAATTATTACTACATGTCATAATAATTACTATACATATAATAATTACTACATGTTAATAATTACTACATATTATAATAATTACTACATGTAACAATAATTACTTTATGTCATAATAATTATGACATGTAATAATTATTATTATATATTACGACATGTAGTAATAATTACGACATGTAGTAATAATTACTACACATAGTAATATTTACTACAATTAAAGTTTTAAAAAGTTTGTATAAAAATATATGTAGTAAATATAATTGCTATTTACAGCACCATACTTTAATCATAGTCATTAGCTTTGGGCGAATTATCTGGACCGATTACTTTGGAATCACCTAAAGAATTAGGTGCAGTTGGAACGCTTACTTCAGAAGATTCAATCACGTGCGTGTTACTTTTCGTAATGCCGATAATCACTTTTTGGCATTCATTCGTATCAGTAGGCTGTTTAGGAAAACTATTTATAATACCCTGAATTTAAACATCGCTTAGACATGAAATAGCATACGTCTATAGGTAATTCGTTTGATCTTATCTATCCCTATTCCTGTGAATAGTGTGTAAATTTTTTTAGCTCTGAAGGTTTTCTGATGTAAGTTTACATCAGTAATGTTGGGAAGAAGAAATTTTATTTCATTATACACCAATGTTCTCGCTGATTGGTCATCGATATTTTTCATACCTTTATAGTCTTCAACCTGATCCTCATATGCTTTATAGAAACAATACTAGCATAGATTCTCCTTTTGCCCAACCTTTATTGCCACGTTAAATAAATCAGCTATACTTTGCATTGCAATTTTATTAGATCCAATTAAAATCGTCTCAAGAGGGAATTCAGGAATTTGAATATCAAATGTGCTATATTTTTCGATATTATCATCTTTGGTAAAAATGGATAGCTCATGTCTCAAACCTTGCTTCACTTTCTGATTGTATAGAATTTTTGTTTTTTCATCACATAGTGACCAAGAATTACTATCATCAGAAACAACATTCGCTGAGTGCTCCACACTTATTTTGTTCTGTTTTTCTTTCTCTATCCCGTACGAATTGTAAATGCTTGATTCTTCGAGCGTTGAGCTTTCCTCTTCAGAAGATATTAGAGACATTAGTTCTTGAGTTCAAAGTTTCTTTTCCCTATTCCTCTCTCTCATTAGATTACTAACCATTTTCTTGTTTTCCGAATCCAAGAAAGAATTCATCTCCTTTTCTTCCAATGATTTTGGATATCTTTTGCAAGGTTGAGGTAAATTGACAGGTGACATCTTTGGTATCGGTTCTTCGGGAACAAAATCATCTATTTCCCTATCTGATACCTTTGCTATCCCTTATATTGACTTGGTGTTGGCATTATTTTGTTGGTCCACTACGGAGTTGAATAAATCAACAGTTGATACCGAATTATCTATAGATAACCACACCTCTGCTATCGCTTCCTTACCATTCTGTGTCTGACCATCTACAACAAAGGAAGCCTATTCCACTATCGCAAGTCTAGCTTCAAGCTCCGTGTTCTTTTGTTCTAGTTCCTTGACTCTGACATCACGCATCGTATTCTCCTCAATAATTTGCTTCAACTTCGCATTCTCAGCCTCAACCTCAGCAAATTTCTTTTCAAGTTTAGGAATCTTATCATTTTCCTTTCTAAGCTTGGCAATCTCAATTAAGAGTTTAGCATTTAATTCTCTTAATGAATCAATAGTGTGAATATTTTCCATCGCTCTCATAGAGCGCGGGTATATTCAAATTTCAAATTAATAAAAATAACATGCACGTTACTTTTCGTAACGCAGATCATTTTTGCCAAGAAAAAATTTTTTATTAATACATGCGAAAAAATAAATACAAATGTTCAGGACCTAGCCCGTGATACATGACGTCTATAATATTGCCTGCGGACCAGGGACACGCAAAAATTTGGAAAATGATTTTTCCACTCTCTGCCTTACCGTTGAAATGTGTATAGACCAGGAAATGATTATACAAATTAAAAGAAATCCAAATTTTTACGTATCCCTGCTGCAGACCAATGTCTGCATAAAAAAATTTCATACTCTATCATTTTACCAAAAAATTCTCGATCATATGCGGGCTAATACAGTATACATCGATAATACAATAAATAAATCCATGAAATACACATGCAAATTAAATGCGATTATGTATGCACTGAAATCGGCCACCAGGCTATCACCAGGCCAGCTTTATTAATATAAAAAATAAAAATAACTACAGGATAAATATATATATTTAGAAATTTGTATTTTTTATCTGAAGTATCTATAATTTATCAGTTGTCGACATCATTAATACCACAACAATCAGTATAAAAATCAAGTGCAAATTGAAATGCAAGACATATTATATCAGAAAATAGACTCATCAAAAATGAAACTTATTACATTATTTTACTAATTTAACCTTCTTTTGTTTTGCTGATTCTATTAATTTTTCTGCATCTTTAAATAGCCAAACAATTTGTCCTAAGACCTCGGTAACCCCTTCCTCAAAATTGCTACCCCAATTAATCGAAGTACCTTCTTCTGAATGGATTCTATATTCTGGTTTATCTCCATTCATAGAACACTCGAAAAAATACCATAATTTACTGTCGGTAACTATTCCATACGCTTTATCAATAACAAAATCATCATCCTCATGTCTTCTCTTTCGAAATAATAGAGTTAGGCTTGAATAAAATTAATGTAATTAAATTCATATTTTTACTTACTTCAAGCGATGAATGAAGCTGTACAATTATTTGTGCTGTACCTTGTATAAAATCATCTCTTTTTACCTCTAAAACACTAATGATTATTTTTTCCAATATCATACAAAAATCCACTGGTCCACGACCATATTTCCCTTGGATATATTCTTCTGGATATATTTTAACCTTCGCACCACACACGGAACTTGCCATCGCAAGAAATGGTAACACAAATTTGCTATTATATGCTTCTGAAACGCATATGTAGAATCTGTGCTCGGTTTTTGATCACGTGATGACGATCATTCGTACTAAGTAAAAATAAAATTATTAAA